GGTAAGAACCTCACTTCTTCAGATGCAAGTAATGGAAATCTCCAGAGGCAGGTATATATCAGTGTGGAGATAACGAGGTATATACCTGATAACGAGTGTGGAGATAACGAGATATATACCTGCCTCTGGAGATTTCCATTACTTGCATCTGAAGAAGTGAGGTTCTTACCCAAGAAAGCTTATGCTCCCAGTACTTCTGTTAGTCTCCAAGGTGCCACAGGACCCTCTGTTGCTTTTTACAGATTCAGACTAACACGGCTACCCCTCTGATACTTAACAGCAACATGTTATTCCAGGAAGTAAAAACAATCAGCAAAGGATAAATTACACACCCTAATGAAATATGTGCTATTTTTGCTACTTATTATAAACACCTCAGTTTGTCAGATAATCCAAGCTCTGAATCTATTCAGAAATATCTGTAAATAGCAGGCTTGCCAAAGATAAAATTGATTAAGCAGCTTTAGTTAAAGAAATAACAGAGGAAGTAATCTTAGAGGCAAAAGCAAGCATGAACAGTGATAAAACTCCAGGACCTGATGGTGTTCCAGCTGAATTTTACAAGGTATTTAAGGAGGTATTAGTGGGTCCCTTGAGGGGTACCTTTTGCCCTTTTCTGTTAAAGGGGGAACTTCCACAACCTTTGAAAGAAGCTACTGTTGTTCTCCCTCAAGTTGGAAAAGATCTTACTTTATGCACTGTTGAATCATGACATATTTTAGCAAAAATACTAGCTAGTCGATTGCAAAACTCTGTGCTCTCAGCTTATATAAATCCAGATCAAACTTGATTAATTAAGGAGAGACAAATGTCGGACAATATTCAGAGAGTACTTGGAATCATCCATAATGCTGAATCAAGTAAAGATCTGTTTCTTTTGTTATCACTTCTTGTAGAGAAAGTCTTTGATAGAATAGAGTGGAACTTTCTATTTCAAATCCTGCCCCTTATCCCAGTTCCTTAAATGGATAATTGCTTTTTACACCAGTCCAGAAGCAGCTGTGCACGTTACTGGGGTTAAATCACCACTGTTTGAATTACACAGAGGGACTAGGCAAGGAAGTCCATTGTCTCCTTTACTTTTTCACTGGCATGGAGCCTTTTGCACAAAGGAACAATGAATCTATCACAGAAATAAAACTTGAAGGAACTTATCAGAAAGTATCTTTAAATACAAGTAATGTCATATTATTTTTAACTAAGCCAAATATTTCCCTAAAATTAATTTCTAAAGAAGTCCATGACTTTGGGAAAGTGTCTGGATTTGAAGTAAATTATGTCAAATCTGAAATGCTAGCTGTAAATTTGCCAGATTCTGAAAAGTCATTGCTCCAGAAAACATTAAGGTACCTGGGAATTTAAATCTCAGACAACCTAGAAGAGCTCTATGATTTAAATGTCAAACAACTATTTCAGCAAATGAAAAAAGATGTGGAGTACTGGAGGAAGTATTCAAGTTGGTTAGGAAGAATAGTCACAGTCAAAATAACCGTTTTGCCAAGAATATCTTTCTTGTTTCAAAAACAACAAGGAGTCCGGTGGCACCTTAAAGACTAACAGATTTATTTGGGCATAAGCTTTCGTTAGTAAAAAACCCACTTCTTCAGATGCATCTGGTTGCATCTGAAGAAGTGGGTGTTTTACCCACAAAAGCTTATGGCCAAATAAATCTGTTAATCTTTAAGGTGCCACCAGACTCCTCGTTGTTTTTGTGGATACAGACTAACATGGCTACCTCCTGATACTTTCTTGTTTCAAAATCTTTCTGTGATTATCCCAGATAAAACCCTTGCAGGAATACAAAGGATGTTGTTTAAATTTATATGGAACAAGAAGAGACCTAAAGTGAGAGTAGATTCTTTATACAGACCCATTGAACAGGGTGGGCTAGCTGTTCCAAATATCTATGGTACTATCAAACTAGCCAGTGCAAAGCAGTAGCAGATTGGGGGTGCTCTAACCCAGCCAAACACCGGGTCTATACTGAACAAGAAAATTGTGGCAGTGTAAATTTCACCAGCCTACCTTGGATTAATAAAAAATTATGCCTTCCAGAAATGTATATACATCCTTTATAAATTAATAATAAAACTAAATAAATAGAGACAATACAGTAAAATTAGTTAACAGTAAACATGCCCACTCTAATAAATATTCTTGTGCCAAAAGTTGCATACATGCTATTAAAGTGAGGGTGTTTTGTTTCAAAATATCTAACACCCCTTCTCTGATATGTTCCTTTAGGGTTTAATGAAGAAATTCATCCGCTGTTCTACACGAGTAACTGTAGGAACCATCAAAAAGTTTCTCAGTTTAAAATTAAAGCTTCCAAGTTCTTATGAGGTAAGTTCCCCCACCCACTGCAAAATATTAAATTTAAGCTTCAGCTAAACAAAGTCTTTTTAAAATAACTCAATCAGTGAGTACAAGGCAGTATTCAGTCTCTGGTACAAGGTTTCCTAAACCCGGAAATGAGCCAGACCCACTGAAGGGCACTTAGCCAATGGAGCACCAACTGCACTTGCTACCCGGGCACCTTCATATAAATATTGCTTGTTGCTCAGCTTTGGAGTGATCATCATTTTGTTTTATCAGTAAGATTAAGATTCTGTCACAGGTATTTTTAGTAAAAGTCAGGGACAGGTTGCGGGCTTCTGTGAACTTTTGTTTGTTGCCTGCAACCTGTTCCTGTCTTTTACTAAAAATTCCCTGGGGAGGGAGGGACAAATAGAGTGCTGCCGGGGGCTTGCAGCTCCAGCCCTTCCACTGCTCTTGCAGCAGGGACTGACCCAACCCCAGCCAGCTGCTCCGGTGGCCCTGGGGCTAGCCGCTAGTCAGCTGTTCCGGGGGTCACTGCTCCAGCCCCGACGCTGCTCCTGCGACAGGGGCTGACCCAACCCTGGCCACCTGCTTCGGTAGCCCAGGGCTAACAGCTGCTCCAGCCCTGCCCCAGAAGTAGTCATAGAGGTCCTAGAAAGTCACAGTATCCATAACAGAATCATATCCTTATGTATTAGTTATCTTTTCAGTTTTTTGATATACAGGTATATGTTTTCTCTTCTTGCCTCCTTTTATATGGTTAATAACAAAAGTAACCCTATAGCTATAACTGCTGGGAAAGAAGGAGTGGTGACTAGACACCACCTGACCAAAACGTTCTTCAGTTTCATTAGTGATCCTTCATTGTTACTGTGTAATGTGAAAAGCAGCCCAGTTCTGATAGACTAACCTATGTCTAAGTACTTATATGGCCTCCATTACCATAATATCTGAACACCACATGATCTTTAATATATTTTCCCTAACAATACCCCTGTGAGGTGGGGAAGTAATATTTATCTGGCCAATGGAGCAGCTCCTCTGCTAAACAGCAATAGGAAAATTTCTAAAAAGTCTCAGTGGAGATAAGACCTAAGAGACAACAAACAGGAGACCCCACAATGCCATTTTGGTAGAAATGCTTCTCACAGACTCTCTCACTTCATCACATTGCTTTCTTCTCCTGCCCTAAGTCCTCAAGTAATAAAGAATGGTATTTGCATTTTTGGGTTATTCTTAATTTTTTTAATAAGCAGGAAAGTGTGATAGTCATGTGTATCCTTAGGACTAAAAGAGTATTGCAATGTTCAGAACATCTTCCAAGGCACACTGTAAAGCTTTTCTCTTTACTCAGGTGACTGTATAGGATTAATAAAATCAATATTTTAGGGGGCATTCATCTGCATTGACATTTATTTAAGTCAATATATGGTCCATGCACTAAGAGTCTTTGGTGGGATTATTAAATAGCTAAGAGATTCACTTATGATTTCATTTAAAAGTAACAATTTCATATCTGTTGGACTCTGTCATCATTTTTTTAAAGCTGGATGTACTATGCAATGGTGAAATCATGGGGAAGGATCATACTATGGAATTCATCTATATGACAAGATGGAGACTAAGAGGCGAAAATGTGAGTACTTTTATGATTTTTACATGTATTTATGTGTGCCTGTGTATAGATAGATTTCTTTGTAGAGTTTGTTTGGGTTCATGGCTTGGTCGGAAAGGTGTTCTGTGATCTTTACAAAATCTGTATTTAAAAATTAATCTCACATACTCTCCAGATTATTTATATGAAAAAAATCTATGATTAGTTATTGAAACACTACAACAGGCATACTACACAGACTTTAACATTCAGAATTAGCAGGAATACGAAGTTTGAATATACGTTCTAATTTTGAATTCTTAGGTGAAATATCTGAAACCACAAATACTTAGTCATCGTGGGAATTTCAGTTGAAATAGTATGATCCCTTAACTTGCAAAAGACTGGAGTTTCTGTCCAATCATTCTATATTCAAAATGCTCTAACTATAATATGATGGGACATTGAGAAATCATTCGAGCCATCTAATTATTTTGACATTTCTTAATTCTATGTTCATGTCATGTACAGTAAACATATAATAATGTCCACAACAGATAGTACAGCTAATTTCCCCCTCCCACATATATAGTTTAGAAAAGCAATAGCTATCTTGCTGAAGGACATTTCTTAGGGATCAATGATCAGATTGAGTTAATAACCCTTAGGTTTGCTTTGGACCATTAATTACTCCCATTTGGTCATTAATTGTCGGACATCATCTCATTGCCTGTTGTATTTATTTTATCTTTCTTTTATATATTCATTCATGTTATATGTGGTTATATATTCTGCTTTACCTTGTAAGGCTTTGCATTGTGTGCAAAGTGGTTGCATTTCAGTGCAAGGGGAAGCTGCCCATGGGTTCAATTAAGGTTAAGTACTGGTGTAGTTTTACATACTGAGCTGTAGTAAATTCCAGAGCCCCGGCCCCCATCACTCTTGTTTTCTATACTCACTGTGGCATAGGCAGAGGAGACGGAATTAAGCACAATGTTGATCAAACAACTCGCAAACTTTAACAGTTTCACCTTTAAACCTAGTAAGACCTTCAAAAAAATTAATTTCTACATAGCAAATATTGACTAGGTTTGAGGACAGAATATTGCACTGAGATTAAAATGGCTATCAAGAATGCAATATTGCACCATCAAAGAGTGTTTTAATCTAAAAGTAGTATTGCCCTTGAATCCAGTTGGTATTTGTTTTACTAACCTTCTGAATTTTGTTAACATTGCTTGTGGTCTAATGAAATATTGAGGAGAAATGAGGCCGTAACAATAATAGAATGCATTCATGATGGCTGAACTACTGCCTCCTGTCAACACATGGATTCTTGACAGTTGCATTGGTTTGGAGGCAATAATGTATACTATTTGGTCAAATGCCCATATTTGCACCAGCTTAAATTTTCAAAAAAATTAAAGGAAAAATGTTTTCTTGGATATATATGATGTTACTGAAAACTCTGTGAAATTTTATGGAACATTTATGGTCACACAGAATCTCCTGGCGATGCATTCACCTTTTCCATTGGATAATTATAAATTACTCTTAATAGCCAATGCTTGCAAACCAAAACTAACAGAAAATATAAAATGTATAATACTATCATCTTTGAAGTAGCCCAAGTCTCTTCAGGGTGCTATTCCTGCCTGGGTGAAATATTTCAGAAATTATGTTTTTGGTAACAAACCCTCCAATTATTAACCTGTTTGGAAACTTCTTTTTGAGGGGAAAATTATCAAGAAGGTTATAGTAAGGCAGCTCCAGAAATATCTGCTCTTCTGTGGTTGTCCAGCCCCTGGTCAAGTTGATTTTAAGCCAAAGTGTAGTACAGAAGCTATAATGGTTCTTAGTTGATAATCTCTTCCTTTGATGGATGAAGAGCAGGTAAATCCATTATCTATGTCAGTGACACTGTTCACTGTGAGCTTTTGTTGACATACCTCTGGACACTAGGAGAGCTTGATATAGTCTAAGAAATAATGATAATTTACTCCTTGGAAAATGTGTTCCTATTTTAAAAATAGTTAATTTTAATTCTCTCATTTGAAACAAAAAAAAATTAAATGATTGATGAATGTATGTGTCCAGTTGTGGATGCCTCTTATCTGATCAGAAAATCATCTCCTCCGCAGTTTCGGTGTCAGAACTGCTCATCTTCGCAAGTCTGCTCACAGGATGGCACTTTTTATCAGGTAAGAGGCACTCACGACTGTACATATTACATATCCTGTCAACATTTTAATTGTAACTCATCGTTGTGGAGGTTTTATAACTCTGTTCCTTTGAGCTAAAACTTAATATATAAGGTCTAAGTCTTCTATTTATTCATTCATTCCATAAAGCTTGTATTGAATGAATGAATGAAGTACACTCAGGAGTTTTAAGGCTTATGATTTTTTTAAATAAAGGCTCTTTATCTTCATGTTTCACTGCATATGATGATCACCAGCAGGGAAATAAAAAAGACATCTCCCACACTTCCCTTTCTCCCCTTATCCTCCCTCATGATAATACTGCATGGTTAGGGACTGCATGGTACCGCATGGTTAGGGACATAATGGAAGTTTATACCTCTATAAAGTATCCAAAATTGGCAAGTAAAGAAATGTTAGATTTTCTAATGTTGTGTTCCTTTTTACTGCTTTAAATTTGGAAATGGGCTGACATCCCAGCTTCATATCCCTCTAGTGAAGCAAACCAAAACTCAAGTTCTAAACATCCCGGAACATTGGAATTGAAAACTGATCAAAACTTTCTCAAATTTTCATATTGTTCACAATGGGTGTTCTAATTAGGCCTATTTTAAAGAAGATTTCAAGCTGCAAATTTGGATCTGAATCTGGTTTCAGTATTTGATTTGAGCCCATCTCTATTACAAATGATTGTTTTTTAAAAAGGATCCCAATATGGACTAATATTTTTCTTACATGGAAAACCAAAATTAATGATCCAGGGTCAAATTCTGATACAAATGACACTTTGTAATTGTGCTGACTTCAGTTGAGTGACTTGGGTGTAATTGAGGGCAGAATTCAGTCCAAATGAAAGGGTGTTCTAGAAAAACATTTCCATTTACGCATTACAATTTGTATTTGTTCAGTTAGCTCAACATTTTTAGTGGTATGCAGACTTTGTGCATAGGAGTTTTGAGTACAGTATAGTCTCATACTAAATTTTAGGGGTGTAATTGTCCTCATTGCTTGTGTGTAATTCCCATTAATGTTAATAGAAGTTAGGTGCTTGTGTTCAGAGTCTGCAAGACTAAGCATTAGTTTGAAGTGTGAAAGATTCTTAAATGTTAAATGGGATGGTTTCCCTTTTTCTCATGTAGTAATCATATCCTGGACTAACTAATCTGATATTGAGTTTATTTGAGCATATAGTTATTACTTATAACAAGAACTCACTTAAGGTGCTTTCTGTCTTCTCACCCAAATACCCTGGCTCTAATTGTCTGATTTTTCAGACTTCCACACCTACAAGCCCACAACAATTGTGATCTCTCCAGTTTCTGACCTTTTTCTACCATAATGAGAAAAATTCATTAACTTCTTGCATAAGTCTTGAATGCAATGGTTATTCTTTTTTTGGTCTCTGAGATTCATCTGTTGTATTTGAAGAGTGAAAAAAGAATGCAATATTTTTGTTGCTAATGATAATTTAGTAAAACCTCTCAGTAATTCCACCCACACAATTTAAGAAGTCTGTACCTCAACTGTGGTCCCTTCTGGCAGTGAAGTCAGAGGCTATTTGAACCCCATGCTGACATAATAGAGCATTCCTGGTTTTGTGTTAGAGAAGCTCCAACACCGCAGTAAAGTTATATGGAAAAAACATCAGACTTAGACTGAAAAAATATATATTATATAAATGGAACTTTCAGCAGCAAGTGACCACAAGTTCCACCTTTCTTCCCTAATCACAGTGCTCCTCAATTTATGTATCCAAATGGATGTGTTGCATTTTTGTGAATGCAAGATTAAGAGCTATTGAAAATGCAGCCTTGAATGAATATGAAGATAAGGGAATTATTTTCAGGAGATTTCAGTCCTCCTTTCTCATGAAATCAAGTGACTCTGGTTGACTTGACTTTCAAAAGAGTTGAGTAACTGCAGCTTGCATTGGTTAGTACTGGTTATAATGGGAGCTGTTGGCTCTCTGTACTTCTGAAATACCAGGCCAAGTATATCATCTTAGAATTTATTTGATCAGTATGAGATAAAAACATCTTATGAATGTTTTTGTCAAATCTAACAGCACAAGAATACCTGAATTATTTCTAGGATCACACAAGTGTGATCCAGTATGTCATACGTACAATGTAAGTTATGTAGCGTATGTATTGTGTATGGATGATATAATTATAATCTGACTCCTGAACTCACTGTGGTATGAGACTTTTTACAATATTTTTGAAAACTGGTTGTGGATGTAAATTTTATTGAAATGTATAAAACCAAATTAGTCTAATTTTAGAGAGGTACATTTTTAACTTTCCTTGTGGTACGGTTTAATTATATCTTGTTTGTATTTCATATAAACCATGCCTTCATGTTATCCTTGTTTGTCTTTTTTTGTTTGTTTGTTGTTGTGTTCTTCTTTTGTTTTTGTTTCTAGTCTTACCCAATGGTACTGCAGTATCGACCCAGAATTGACTTTGGTTAGACCAAAGGGCCGGATCCTGCTGAGATGAATCCTGCACTATTTGTTACCCATCGACAGATTGCACAATGAATGGATGTGCCTGGATTAAGGGGACACAACCAGATTTTCAGCATGCAAATAAGGACATTGTCTTTCTTAAAATTGTCAATTGCATCTTTGTTGTTTCTATTAGAGCAAGCCAAGTGCCATTCTGCTACTGAAATGTGCATAAGATATTTGTGGTATCTTAAAAGTGTGCTGCAAGTCATAGCCAAAATCATGACATGTATAGTCAAGATTCAGAAACTACAGAACATTTTGCCTGCCTGTTAGAAGAGTTTTCTGGTCCTAATGTTGATTACACTAGCAAAATGGCAGAATGCTCATTCCATGTGGTGTTGCAATTGTCACATATTTACTATTTTACTGATTATTGTTGTACAAATGATAGAGAACTGTACAAAAAGTTATGGATTATACCTTGAAAATATTTTGTATAGAAAATATATTTAGAACAGTGGTGATTGTGCCACTACATTTTTCTTGTTAAGTTTCCATGCGTCCAGGTATAGCTCGCTCATGAGTGTGCAACAATCATTTTGCAATGAATGAAGATTATCCTTACAACAATATTAGAACATAGTAATTCAACTAAGCCATTTTAAATTGTCTAAATAGATTCTACCAGTATCACCTAATAGCACCATAGCCCTTGTGAGTGCAAAATTGTATGACTTGCCTAAAGATTGGAATTTGATATACAACTATTTAGGATAATGGCAACTGGTCAAATCAGGTTTCTTTTAATAAAGTCAGTGTAAAAGTGAGGTTAAAATAATTTAAATGTCTAATAAAAAAGCAGAACTTCCTGTCTAAAATTACACCATATAGCGAACATTTATATATCTTTTGTCACTCTGTGACGTTCACTTTATTTTTAAGATTGGATTTAGATGTGTCCAAGTGTGGCATATAATAGAGTAAAATAATACAAACTAACATATTTCAAAATACATAGCTTTAATGGCATTAAATTTCTATGTTATGTTTATCTGGAGTTCAGAAGCTATTGCGCATTAACTTAATTAGTTATTGTCGCATCCTAAAGCTAGTTCCATAAAACTAGAGGTAATGCAATATAGTAGATAAGCAGTCTGATGAAAATAATAGGCTGTTCAAGGCATTTTTTTTTTCCTCAGACCTGGTAATGGTGGGGGGAAAAGTGCTTTTTTTGGCCTTAGGTATCACAAATATAATGGTTCTAGTGAAGAAAATTGTATTAAAGTTTCTGGTAACATTGCAGGGAGCATTATATTTCATGCATTTTCTGTGGTCTTCCATTGTCTTTGCTCAGTTTACAAGTCAGAGTGGGTTTTTTATTTCAAATTCTGCAGAGATACTTACAGTTCAATACTTGGTATAATTTCTACTTAATGCACAGCTACCAGCATTCCTACTTACTTTTATATGACTTTATGTATACAACACAAAGGAAACAAATTGACTTTCAGAAGCTACTATAGAATGAACTAGTCGTGCTTAGAAAATCAAATAAAAAACCTAAATAAAAAACCACAGGATCAAAGCATAAAAGATAGACAATGGGAAATAGCTCCTATAAAAGTTTGGTGGCAGTACAATTTATACGTGTAGGGCATGCAAACAAACATGCATTACGGGTGAAAAGCTGGCTTCTGAAGTCAATGAGAGTTTTGCCATTGACTTTAGTGAGAACAGGATTTCATCCTATTTGTACACACTGAGTCAGATCCTACCTTTGTGTTCCAAAAGCCACATAATAAGGGGGAGTAGAGACATTGCCCGTAGCATTCTGTTAAGGAATCCTGCCATTGCAGATGAAGATTGCATATAATGTGCTGACACAGGGTGCCATGGGAAACACTCTGATACTCCCTTCTGCAGGCACAGTGTGCTGACTGGTATTGGGGCTAGTTGGGCCATACTGTTGATAGCAACAGATGCACTTGCTGGTTGCAAAGGCTAGTTACCTCTTGCCTTCCCAGTCCATGGCATGCTCTTTTCCAGTCCATGGCACGCTCAATGGCAGATTTGACAAGCTGCTCCATGTCGGTAGATCCCAGGTCCTACACAGAGCCTTAACAAATGCAGTGGTACTCTTCACAGACACAGAGGTCTGCCAACATGGATCAGGTTTCAGGAGTGAGATCCAAATTTCTATTGCATATCCATGTTATCTGCATCATACTAAATTCCTTTATAAAGAATCAATACAATGTTGTTTCTAAATATTTACATGTATGTACTAATGACACCTTGCAATTTTTATATCCTTCACATCATAGAAGTGTTTTTATGCCAGGAGTATTTTCAAGGTGGCTTCACATTAAAATGAAAGGTTTGTTTCAAAGCTTTTGGTTTCAGTTCATCATAAAATTAATAGCAATATTTCAAGTTTAATTATTAGTTGATTCGGGGGAGATAGTGTATTTCTTTAGTTGCATATTTGCTAGTTTGGTACATTTGAACTGGGTGTTTTAAACAAACAGAAGGACAGCACAGAATTTGTTTGCAGTGTTGTTGTAGCCATGTAGTCTCAGGATAGTCGAGAGACAAGGTAGGTGAGGTAATATTTATTGGACCAACTTCTGTTGGTGAAAGACAAGCTTTCAAGCTCACAGAGCTCTTCTTCAGGTCTGAGAAAAGTACGCAGAGTGTCACAGCTAAATACAAGATGGAACAAATTGCTAAATGTAAGGAGTTAACACGTTGCAGGAGACCATTCAAGTCATGAAGTGAGCAGTTAACAACTCTGCAGTTATGGGACAAAGGAGAACTAGTGGGGCACAGATGGTTATGATGAGCCATAAATCCAGAGTCTTTATTGAGTCCATGATTTTTAATGTCTAGCAGCGTTTTGAATTTTTTCCAGCTTGTGAAGGTGTTATACAGACTTCCTTTGAGGGTGAGGATAGGTCAGATATGGAGTAATTGCTTTGTGAAAGGTGTTTGGCCATGGGTGATAGGGTGTTTTTTGTCTTCTATCATTTTTCTGTGTGAGTTCATTTGAGAGTGTAGTGATTGTCTGGTTTCACCCACAGTTGTTATTGGGGCATTTAGTGCAATGGATGAGGTACACCACATATTGTGTTAAGCATGTGTACGACCCATGGATCTTGAATGGTGTAATGTGGAAGATATTGATCATCACAGAAGTGGAGATATGTCAGCCGGGTTTTGCATCTGTTGTTCTAGCAAGGTCTGGTGCCACTTTGAGTTGGTGTGTCCTGGTCTGTGGGGAGCTTGCTTCTGATGATGACCTTGGTAAGGTTGGAAGGTTGTTTGAAGGCCAGAAGAGGGGGTTCAGAAAATATTTCTTTCAGGATGTGGTCCCCATCGAGTATGGGTTATAATTATTTAATGATTCCCTATATGGATTTCAATGTGGAAACACCATATTACCTGTGGGTAAACATTTTTCACAAATATTTTTCCCAGTTTATTTTGAATGATCTCTTGAAACATGTTATCTTCTTATGTTTAACTGTCTGTTCCATCTTGTACTTAGCTGTGACAATCTGAGTATCTTTCCCAGACCCAAAGAAGAGCTCTGTGAACTTGAAAGCTTGTCTTTCATCAACAGAAGTTGGTCCAATATAAGATGTTCCCTCACCTACCTTGTCTAACACAAAATTTATCACTTTGAGTCCATTCTTAAGGGTATGACATAGACAGAATTTTGCACCCAACCACCAAATTCATATTGGATTTAGCACAGCCACTGAAAATTCTTTTTACTATATTATGAGGGTCCATGAGTGACAATGAATAGAGGTTTGAATGTTTCATAAGATTTTCTGCATTCTCAGTTCAAGAAGCCAAAAATTTGTCTTGCTGAGAATTAACTGTGTTATTTCATGGTTTGTTTGTTTTTTAAATCCAGCTCAGAACTGGATTAGGGAAGTCAAATCTTCTTCATTGTAAGTACGAAAACTAAGGACAGATAGGTTTTCAATGTACTCTGCTGAGTATCCTGCCTTTCAGTGCTTTTATAAACATACGATCTAGCTACCTACAATTATAAATTTCTGATATGACAGCATAGTGCCTGCTTGCGGTTTGGTTGAACGCTTGTCCTAGGGGTTAGATGCCAGCCAAATTGATATCTAGGTGGGCAGCTTGCATAACACAAGTGCTGTCTCTCCTGCAGTAAATTCCTCTTTGCTTATACTGCATAGGTGTGACATGTCTACAGATATGCACATGTGATTATCCCTGTTGATACATTGTGCCAATTAAAAAATATTAAAAGTGTAAGAATAGTCGAATGCATGTACAGACACTTTTGAGTGCCAAAGTCAGATTATAATGCAGTGAGAACATGGGTATTCAATTAAAATCACACAGCGTGTCCAAATAAAACAGGACACTACTACGTACAGGCATGCTTGATGTGGACATTAATAGCACACAGTGTCTCACCACTGCATAAAGTCAATCAGGAAGGAAGAAAATAGCTGAGCCCTCAATAGTTATTCTGAAATTATCCATATTGTTGGCACCCAACTGCAACGGGTGGAGGGGGGGTGTCAGACCTAAAATGAGACACTTTCCCTAATTGTACAACCTTTAACTCTATCCCACAAGTTTAGGTTTTTTTCTAAAATGAGAGCCCAGAAGTTACATCCACCTCCTTCCCCCAGTTAGCCCATTAATAGAAGTCAAATGTAATGCCTTTGTTAGACTAAAAATCTGTAGGCAGTATATATCCTCTAACATACTGGAAGTTAAGAGTTTACAGAATGGGATCTTGTAAGATCTCAAAAGCATATATAATACAAATCTATTAGATTAGCGTGAAATGTGCATTACATTGTGTACTATTAAACTACCTTGACTAAGGGCCCAATCCTGCAAACACATGAATAATTCTTATTTGTCTGAATAGCCCCCACTGTAGTCAGTGGAATTCATCACTACAGTAAGAATTATTCAAATAAATGTTTTCAGAATCAGACCCTAATGTATGGTGTGATCAGATAGGAAACAATGTGCAACAAAAATGTAACTATATTCTTCTTTTTAATAACGTTTTATATTGTAAATTATTTTGACTGTTCTGGTTTTACTGAAAATGTTATTTAAAGGAAAATGGTGGATTACTAATATAGAATATCTTTTAGACCCACTTTATACATTTTAAATGAGAATATTTTTCTGTGTATTATAAATGGTCTCAATATTTTCAGTAATAGTATTTCTTAATAGAACTATACATAGAAGAACCTTCCTTCAAGTGAAACAAACCAACATCAAAGAAATATTTTCTGTTAATTAAGCAGTTTAAATATGGGCAAATATAGAATCTCACATACTAGAAACTATTTAAAAAGGGTGAGTCTTATGTTGAGTCAATTTTATTTTCCCCTAAGCAATAATCTTGAATTTTGGATCCTTATCTTTTTCCCTAGTCTGAGTTATTTTGTCTGTACTTCTCTTGCAAATTCCAGAGGCAACTCAGACCTGTTGATAGGGGTTTAAGGTTTGGTCACACTCCTTTAGGACTTAAATTCACTTTCTGCAGCACAGAGTGGTGGACAGGGCTCCCATCTTATCCATTGCAATCCTAGCTATTAAAGCTGATTTTGTGAAAGCAGCAACCAAAATCTTTTGCTCTCTCCTCTCCCATAGTGAACCAAAATTTGTAGGGTGTTTCTCCCTAAGTGGGACCACCCACTGAGCTCTTTTGCTCTATTTGTTTTCCATTTCCCTATCACCACAGAGGTCAAGAGGCAATCTATTTGCCATAAGGTCTGAGGAGCCACAGAAGGGCATTCCATGGAGTTGCAGCAAAACCACAGAGGCCAACTTAGCCAGACACTAAGGGCTTGTGTACACAAACATTTAATTCCCCACAAACTGCAGTGTGAGTATACCCTACACCAGCCTGCTCTTGATCCTGCTGACAAGTATTAACAGTTCATTAAAACACTTTCATCTAGTTAATGCACATCAATTAGTCCATGGCAAAATAAGGCGGGGTAGAGTCACATCCCAGCTTGCCACAAATTAGACAAGCCCTAACTGATTTAAGTCCTAGACAGCATAGTTATTCAGTGCCAATTCTCTGAGTTTCAAAACACACTGGCGGAATCCTATCTGGAGAAAAGCTTGATACAGTGCTAGCCAATTACATGGACTAGCCAAAGTGTTCGCTCCCACTCCAGTAAAGTTGAAGGATGCAAAGGTCCTTTTATTCCTATCCACAAGGGGGTAAGAACATCAGAAGAAAGCCCAAACCAGAAAATGAGTCCAACTCCTCTTTCCAGCGCATTCAGTTTGACTACAACAGTTTGAAGTCAAGTACACCTACAAAGCAGGGTAGGTCATCCCTTTTCCAGATATCTCATTCTAATTGATTTCCGACAGGTAAGTTCAGAACCGAGTGAAGCAGAGATGCACCCTGGAGTTTGACTCCTCCATATCTCTTTTTCATCCATCTTCAACCTTACAAGACAACTAGAAACATCAAATAATCCCGAAGAGGATCTCACACCTGAAGAAGAATGTCCTAGTTCAGTCAGACGGTCACCTGGAGCAAGAAGCAATAGAACTTGTCCCTCAAATGTTCGGGACGCTGCTTCATATTCTTCAGAGTAAGAAAAAGATGAGGCAAGCCCAAGTGGTCTTAGACAAGGAAAATGAACAGGTTGACAAAATAGAAAATATTCTGATAGGAAAATTTTCTGAAGCCCTCTCAAAGTATCATTCACCTAAGAGTTGAATGCAGCCTTAACAACATAGGAAAGATTCAACATGGCCCACGCAATGGTCTCGAAGATGTGCGTACTTACAGCCCCTTGGTCTTCTGGCCTTATACGTAGAGATTACACCCTAGACAAGAGTACATATGGTATAACGTCAAGGATTTCTCTTATGAGCCTGGAACTGTCACAACAAGAGATGCATAGGAAAGCAGATACAATCCAGAGTATTTCAATGCATCATTTGGTGGTGATGGGAAGCCCATATGATAGTAGCAACTTCTTTCTGCAATCCAGATCCCAAAATCCTGACCACTGGTATCAGCCTTTCAGGATGGGGAACACATCTGTCACAATAAACAAAGTAAAAAAAGTTCCAGAGCATCAGTTTCCTAGATTTGGGAGCCTTCAGCCTGGTTCTTTGAGACTTCAGTGCTTGCCTTAGGGAAGGAGCATGTTCTAGTTCAGTCATGACCATGGCATATATAAATTGACGTGAGGACATGAGAAGTTCAAGTCTAAATGCCAAAGTAATGCAAATTCCCTCCTGAGAGTAAAGTCATCTATTTTCCAATAAAGCAAGCCACCATAGGAGCTGTCCACAATGCTACAAGCTTTCGCAATCCAGCCCTTTGAATCAATGATATATAATTCCCTGTATTTCCTTACAATAAGGTTATGCGTCATGTCAACCTGAAGAGTTTCAGAAAATATTGCTTTTAGAAGACAGAAAGCCTTACTACATCTTTCAGGAGGACAAGATAAAGCTCTTTCTACTCTAGAGGCATTCATAAACAAGGTTAACCCATCAGTACTTCACGGGAGATCATTCATTCATTTTTTCCAATACCTCACACTTGGAGATGACAAAAACATGGCATATCCTACGTGTGGGAAGAACAGTGAAAATATACGTTAGTAGAACCGATCAATTTAGAAAAAATATTGATTGTTTTGTTTTTGCCCGTAATGCCTAGGCTAAGCCAGCAAAATCCTCCATAGCCAGGCGGATCTAGTCCTGCTTCATCAAAGTATATTCAGCTGTAGACAGACTGATTCTAGAAGGGATCAGAGCCTACTTAACACATTCCACGATGGCTTTCAGGGCAGAAAGAGCTTGAGCCACCACAGAGGAAATCTGAAAAGCTTCCACCTGGTCATCTATCAACATTTTCGTAAAACACTATTGGCTTGATCTTCACTTCTCAACTGAAGCATCCTTCTGTGGGGAGTGCTCCAAACAATGATCCCAGAATAGATTAATGCTACTAATTTTAGAGACTGGGAAAATTTTTCTTGTCTTACTCATCTTTACTTCCCAGCTAATTTTTTTCCTTACTGCTCACTACATCCCAAATGTCTCAGATGGTTCGGGGGGAGAGGTCAGGATCTTTCAGGTGGGATTTCTAAGTAGGGTTTCCTTTGACACACGACATTCTGCTGGTGTTTTTACAATGGTCACTTTTGAATCCAGTCATTACCATTAAGAAGTTTGTTGCCTTTACTAATAAGGAATTTAATGTTGCTATACAGCTCTGGAAACACTTCAAGAGTGGTGGTAGGGCTGTGGAAAAGCCCATAGACCTGATCTGCCTCTTGTATTTGTAGAAAGAGAGGTGCAGCTCTAATGTTTCAGACTGCAGGAGAGGCCAGCCCCATAAAATAAAGATTCCGTGATTATATTAACGAACCAAAGAGAGGCATTAGATTGAATTTGCATATTGCTATGATGTATGTACTTTTTCTTACAGTAAACTTTATATATAATATTTTTTTCTAGTAGATATTTTTAAAGAAGGCTTAATGTGTGACATATAAAAGGATGGATGGGATGAGCATAAATAGTTTGCTATTTTTTTCCCTTAAGCTGAAGAGCAGCAGGCAGGGTTCGGATTAAGAGAGAATGGTGTAGTATATAAAAGTCTTACAAGGGTAAAACATTTTTGTGCTGCTGGCTATAGTCTAAGTTTTCTATTGCAAACAAAGGTGAAGCAAAGATATTTACTGTCAAAGTGAGATGCATTTATTCTGTGGTGATATTCTGGTCCCATAACTGTGTTTTGTATTCTATCAGGTGATTAGCAATGTAGATGTTGCCGATGTGTCTGAGGGATTTTGGTGTAGTATAATCAGAGCTGCTCACTGTACCCTTTTACTGGAAAACTGAATTCTGATCGACTTAAAGTACTCTGTGCATCTGCCTATCAGACATTTAATTTATTCATAAAGTTTTTTTAAAAGACTATATTTTTATGACTTATTTGCTTGCCTAATAGTTGTAAGGGACTTTTTAATACCAAAGGTCAGCCATCCAGAAACTGACTTGGAATAAAGCATTGTCATTTTCCCTTGAGGAGTGCAGTGGACATCTAGTTAGTCAAGTTTAGTGCATCTGGTATCAAACAAACGTATGTTACTGATGGTAGCTGTTTATTGCCAAACTAGAGTTTGGCATACCTGTCAGTTTTTAAATAACAGATAAATTATGGAAATTAGCATAAGGATTGAATTTACCAGTCATGGGTAGAAAGAATGGTCCCTTTTAGGTCATGGTAATGTCTTTTAACAAAAAGACGCATAAAGGCTTGCATTACTGATATCTGTGCTATACCTGGCCTAGGAACTAATAAAATACTTCAGTGCGCTGTCAATCTCATAAACCTTCTGAAGCACAAAATATTCAAGATACTTTGGGGTTTTCTAGCTGTAGCTTAGTGAATTTTTGGAGGGTAAAAAGGACAGACTTGGAGGATCATGCAAAGATGTTAAACTACATTTTACAGATTTTATAGCTATTTTTTTAGCAAATGGCATTGCTTTCAGTAACATCAGAGTATTGATTAGCAAAAATATCAGGGTTATTTTATGTGTTGTGCAGTAAAAATAAAAAATTATATAAATCTCTTGTATTTCTTTTCCAGGATAGTCCTGAACTAGATTGGAAAAAACAGAACAATTATTTAAATAGGTTTTTAAATCTGTCACTTAAAAAATTGCAGTAGCTCTTATTTCTTTTCTTTTTTTCCTGGAGTAGAAACTTCCTGGAATAAACATTAAGCAATGCATAATTTTGTAAATTTTTTCCCAAATGCAAACTTAAAAACATTTTGCATTTTAGAAAAATCAATGCAAAGCCTGATTTGTTAGACGTTCTAGGCTATTGACTAGTCTGTATAGAGTACTCTAAATGGCATTTTTTTGGATGGGGGCTTAAGTGTCCTTATATAAGCTGTGATCCAAGTAAAGATAAGAAAGGAGCTTGTGGTGGGCAGTAATTCTTCCTTGCATCTGGTCAGTGGCTATCAGTTTTTAATACAACAGCCCTCACAATACTTAGAGATCATAGAACATATTGTAATGTTATGTTGCTAATTTTCTTTTAAAATATAAAATATTTTAAGCTTTTTGTCAAAAGTGATAACACCTTATTACAAATAAACCTTTTTGTGGTTGTAAAATTTAGCTTATAAATCATTCAAATTGAAGTGAAAAAAAAAAATACCAGGTCATTGTTAATGACTTAGTCTATCCTACTACTAAGAATATATGTATTTTTATAAAGGAAAAGCACTTGTAGATATTTAATCAGTCCAATATCTATGTTTATGTTTTAAAAAAACAAAAAGCTGCTTAGAGAATCACTTAAATATTTTTATTTTTGTGCTCAAATGCATTCTCAGTTGATTTATGGAATGTTTATTCTGTATAAAGCTGTATAGTTGTTACAGCTGGGCTAAATGCATTTTATACCTGGACTTAGCCAAGTATATCTGACCATGCTACAAAAAATATTTATATTATCAACAATTTGATTGCATAACATATAATGACGGTGCTGTTTTTTCATTTTTGACATTAGTTTCTTCCTACCTTATAGCATTCCTACTTTATTGTATTTGTTGTGGTACAGCAAATTTCATTTTGAGGGTCGCATTCCAATGGATGTTTTAAGGTACTGTATACAATATTTATATAGTCCATTTACAGTTTATGCAATCTATAAAATTGCCTAAAATTTGCTAGACATCAGTATTTAATAGCAAATTCCCCACTGAATGAAAATGACATACCAGATATGTGAAGCAAATAGTATTTTCCTAGTGCAATGGGACATATCTGATACTCGATATTTTTGAATTTTAGGAAACTGCTGCTGGAACATATGCATGTTACAACTGCACCTTTTGAGTTACTAGTACATAGTCATTTGTACCAACCATACTTTTAAACTACTTTTTTGAAAACACAAAAGAACACATGAAATGACATTAGGACTTAATCTCACGGAACGATGGACACTGAAATGGTGAAATTGAAATGATGGTTGAAATGACATTCTTAACCCATTTTTTGTGCCAGCTTGTACTGTAGTATATCTAACATCTAAAAGAACCCAGCAACACACACACAATTCCAAATTAATTCTACCAGATCACTGTTAACGACAGATGGCCAGATTCTGATCTCTGTTCCACAGGTGTAAACCCACAGTCTTCACACAATGGGACTCTGCATGGGTCCACACTGACAGATCCTGAGGCTGTGTCAGAGCTCTGGATTTAACTTTAATGGTGTTTCTTTGCTTTTACATTCATGTAACTGAGATTTGAATATGGCCAAGAGTTCCCACCATAACTCTGAATTTCCTCACATTTGTGAGGTCTTTCATATCTCTAACATTAGTCACACTTAATCTTTTGTGTTAGTTTTCCATAAGTTTGTAAAGTTTTGTAACTATAAGCCCAGGAGTCCACAGTAAATTACAATATTACAATTCTAAATGTGTGTAAATATTTACATAATTAAATAGAGGATTTTATTCAATAGACTGCAAATACTTGGTAAAACCATTACCATATTAATACACTTACCCTTTCCTTGAGTTCCTAAAGTAGTCAATATTTTTAAAACATCTTACAATTTGAATATTTTACTTTTTAAATTTCTTGTTAAATAGCTGCTAATAGTTTGTCCATATTAAATCAATGGGGGCTCAACATCTCAGGGTCAACAAAGTAGCATTTTAGAATCTCAAACCAGTTTGAGTTATAAATGTAATATATATGTAAAATATATATTGCAGCCTTTTATTTTTTAATAACCAAATGAGTATTTTTGTTAAAAGTGTATAAAACAAGTACTGTGGTTTCCCCCAGCTCTGCCAAAGTTCACTCTGGAATATTCTTTTCAGCTGAGTTATAACCCTTTTAAAAAAGAGGGTTGTTCTGAAAAAGGACGATAAACCCGTAACTACATTAGAACTAGTGAACACTTCTATAATTAGGTACTGAGTTGGCACTAGACTTCATTTGGCAGAATCTGTGTTGTATTTTGATGCAGAGTGAAGTAAGTTTGTTTGGAGTTATATCTACATTTGTAAAGAGGGTAAATTTTAGTACAATAACTCATGCAAACTCTGTAAATGGACATTTTAAGAAATATATTTGATATGTAACAGTTTCTTATTGTCACCATATGTATGCTTCAGTACCAGTGATGTTAAATTGAGTGTTTCATGTTAATGTCAAGAATATCCACGGCACCTTCATTACTGCTATAGTAAGTTACAATTGTGTATGGTCCATATGCTGCAAGATGCCTCTGGCCCAGTTGAATTAATCCTAAGAAAAATCCTAGATGAGCAAGAAGTATAACTAATCTGCTTACTAGCACTGAATTGCTCCTTTCTGAAAGCAATAAATATATTCATGTTGTAACATCTGTTGTGCAGCCTACAAATACAAGTTGTTTTGTTGCATTTTGTTTTCTATATAATTTATTTTGTGCAATAAAAAGTTTCTCTGGTTTCTCTGACTTTTCTCTAGATTGTAAAAATATTTGAATTCACATTTCCTAATTTCAAATCTAATCATGCAGGCTTTATAGACCAATTAAATGGCAGGTGCCTTGCTTCAAGGAGTCTCTTGTTGCGATACTTGATTTAACTCTCAATCCTATATGGTGCTTAGTGCCTCCTAGAGGTGTGGAGAGTCCTGGTCATTGATGGCACTCAGCTAACCACAGGGTCAGGCTTTAAATTAAATATAGCACAAGAATTGACCTAAACAGGGAAGAAGAGATAGGACATGACAGTGTTAGAGCGATGAAAGATCAGGACTTTTAGTAATCAATATAATATTAAAATGTATGAAGAGTGTCCAGAAGTGAAAATTTCAGTCAGAATGTAATTTTGTAAAAACCTACTTTTAAAGTTATGTAATACCAGTGCTCAAAATCAATTGGAAATGGAACGCAATATATTTTGCTAGATCAGCATGCACTTGTTTTATGTGGAAGATTGTTGAGTGTTGAGTTAGAGTTACTACGAGCAACCACTTAACTGTGTAAGTATCCTACTGTATGTTAAACTTCCTCTAGACTAGTGTTTCTCAACCTTTTTGATACCAGGGACTGGCTTGCTGCCTTCCTAAACTGTATCAGGGAGATCTCAGAGACCGGTTGTTGAGAAACACTGCTCTACATGACATCATATATACTGCCTTGAATTTTTATGAAGTTTTTAAAAAGCTGTATGGAAGTTCAAGCATTACACTGCTTTCTCCCCTACAGTAGAAGAAAGGATGTGCAGTAACCATTAGAGCATAATTTCACCAATTATTTGCAATATAAAAAAAATTCTTATGTCAGATCCACACATCCTGATCTCAAAAAAGTGGCAAATAGGGCCTGAGGGATGAAACAATTAAGAGGTGCATTTTGGTATTTTTACATGCTCCCAAATCTTAGCAGCTCCAGATCATGTTTCAGATGGTGGAGTTCCAAACCAGATGTTGTCAACACACCTCCTCCTCACTTAATTTCTGTTAGAAATTTGCTTAAAAGGTTTATCTCAAGAGTGCCAGCTATCCTACCCTTTAGGTGAAATAAGTCCCACTGTTCCACCTTATTTGATGTGAGTTTGATTAGAACATTTCAATCAATGTGTTTTGTATGTATAAATCTAAAGTTAACATTTCTGAACCAAAGAACCTAATGCTGATTTCTGGACACTCCTTAGAAGTTTTAGGTTCCATAATTACCATAAATAATCCTGTGCTGTGCACAGCCCTGCCCCTGTGTATTTTGTGCTGTTGAAGAAGAAACTACACCTCTACTCCGATATAACGCGACCCAATATAACACGAATTCGGATATAACGCGGTAAAGCAGTGCTCCGGGGGGGGGCAGGGCTGTGCACTCCAGCGGATCAAAGCAAGTTCACCTATAACGCCGTAAGATTTTTTTGGCTCCCAAGGACAGCGTTATATCGGGGTAGAGGTGTATCCACAGCAGGGGTTCTCAACCTTTTTCTTTCTGAGGCCCCCCAATACACTATAAAAACTCCACGGCCTACCTGTGCCACAACTGTTTTTCTGCATATGAAAGGGCTGGTGCTGGGGAGTAGGGACATGCAGTGGGGCTTTGGCTTTCTGCCCTGGGTCACAGTGAGTCTGTCAGCCCTGCTTCATGGACCCCATGAAACCTGCTTGCAGCCCCCCAGGGGGCCCCAGACCACTGGTTGAGAACTGCTGATCTACAGTACTTTATTTTTCTTTATTTTCTACAGTATAATCTCCAAATCATACATCCATAACTCTAAATTAACTTCAAAATGCATATGAAATATTGTTTATGTAGATAATTTTAATGTGTTCCTATCTGAGCCTCTTGGTGCAAATCCAAATAAGTGAAAATTATATAGAAGTTCGCATGTACCTTAGGAATAGGGCTTGGCTCTAATGATTTTTCGTTAACATCCAGATCATTAAGATTGATTTGATTGATAAGTCTTTCTATTTTGATTTTATACTTTATTATGATACAGCCATGAGATGTAATGGTAAAACATTTGAGATGGAAATTTCAAAAGTGCTCAATGTAGGCCTAATTTTGCTCCTATTTAAGTCATTGGGAGCTTTACCATTAACTTTAATAGAAACAGAAATAGGCTAATAAATACTGAATGGTTTTGGAATACCTACCCTTAACTGTTTGTTTTATCTTAAGTGTATTTTTAAAATCAGGTTATATAGTCTGGAGGTGTGTTTTACCATACAATTCAGTATTTTACAGTCACTTATAACTTCCAAAGCAATCCTTTAAAATGTAACAATATGATTGTAGCTTTTTCATCATTACATTTAATTTCCCTTTTACATTCTTTCCTTTTGATTTTGTTACAGTGTCTGCTTGAGTTAACCTGATTTCAGTATTGTTCATTGTGATTGGGTGTATATTTTCTAATTTCAATTTGTTTGTTAGGAATTTCAAGAAACTAAAAAAAATATTAAAAATAATTATATACATACATACAAATTATAATCCAGCAAGTACACTCCAGGAGAGAGCCCTCAAGGAAGATGAGACATCACCTTATTTACTCCTGGCGGAATTCTGCACCACTGTGTGTGCAGAAACACCACCCCCTCCCCACTCCCCGCAGATTTTCTTTGCTTCCTGCAGACAATGATTTCTGTGGGGAAGCAAAGAGAAGCTGCACCAGTGCTCACTCACCCCTCCCCAGCAGCGTGGGTGTGTCTGTTCGGGCAGCCAGGGGGGTGGGGGGAGTCTGGGGATGCCACGGCCGCCCAGGGATGTTAGTCCTGGCTGGGCGGTGGTCCAGAGGGGAGGAAGGAGATGGAGTTCCTCCTCCCCCTCCTCTGCACAGAGCAGCCAGGGCTAGGTCAGATCAACCCCCAGAAACCTCCCCTGGCTGTAGGAGGCTATGCACCATGGGCGTGGGGCTTGGTGGAGGGTCTGGGTGCAAGAGGTGAGGTTCATTGGTGAGGCTCAGTGGGGGGATTGAGTACTGGGGTGTCTGGATGCACAGGGGTGGGGGGGGGAGCAGCTCCCTGTACAGTAACCCCCTTCCCCCACTTCCTGGCCCCATTGGCCCTCAGCCAACAAGGGAGGGGGTCAGTGCATGGGGAGCTGCTCCCCCTGTCCATCTAACCCCATGCATCTGGACACCCTCCCACATCCAAGCCCCCCTGCTGAGCCTCACCCTCCCCACACCCAGAATCCTCCCTGTACCCCCCACCCCTCCCAAGCCTCACTCCCTGCATCAGGAGCCCCCCACACCCAGATCTCCCTGCACCAGAACCCCACACACCCAAACCCTCCCACAAGCCTCACTCCCTACATTAGGAGCCCCCCATACCTGGACCCCCCACCCCACCAAGCCTCACTCCTGCTGCACCCAGACCCCCCGCTGACTCCTAACCACCTTCACCTGGACTCCCTTCAGAATCCCATTCCCCCTACACCCAGAACCCCCCAACGAGCCCCTGTGCATCCAAATCCCCCCTGCACCCTGACCCTCCATTGAGCTGCCTGCACCCACACAGAACCCTGGTACTCTTGAGGGAATTCTGCACCAAAAATTAAAAATTCTATGCCAAATAATTAAAAAATTTAAAATTCTACCAAGTTCTGCATATTTTATATCAAAATAACACTAGCACAATAACAATATAATCACACCGTTTTCAAGTATTTGGGTAATTTATTTCAAAATACTTGTCAGCAAATAGTTGAAAATGGTGTGATATTATTTTGACAAAATATGCAGAATTTTAAAATATTGTGTGCAGAATTTTTAATTTTTTTGGCGCGTCCCTCAGGAGTACTTATTATATTTTGAGTCATCTCAGGCACAAAAAGGGAGAAGCCACTCATGAGGAACTCGGTCTATCCCCGTTAAGGTCAAAATCATGTCAACAATACCTCATGGTCAGTCATCTCAAAGGATGCTCATAAATCTAAAGAAATCAGTGGGGATACTTGGTCTTCATCCTGGCCAGAAGATGATCATCAACCAGCAAGATCCATACAATTTCCAAGCTCAAAATATATTTGGGGTATCCAGGAAATCTGAAGACTTTAGATTTTACAGAATTGTGTCACCACAAACTTCTCAATATTCATTAAAGAGGAATATTAGAGAAAGGTCAATAGTTGATGAGATTCTCAGCATCGAAAGAATATCTTGAGCAAGAACCTAGCAAATCCCCTTTCTAGCACTAATCCTTCTGAATGGAGGCATTGGAGGACTCTTCCAATAATGGACTGTCTCTGTCTCCCTACTGGATTTCACAAGCCAACAAAAACATGTGTCCACAACTCATAGCCCAGAACTCTTCACACTTCCAGAAACTTTGTAATTGACACTGACTGAAACTAAATCAGAGAAGACACTATATTTGCATCCTGACCCACTCCTCTCCAGCTATGGTTCTGCCACCTAAATTGGGGTGATTTTATGTAGGTAATAATCCCACAATGAGAAGTGCTCCACTCTGTAAGCTAATGGAGATGGTCTGGATTCACCATGCCCTGTAGCACTTGGAACAGTTCTTTCCCACTTTCTCTGTCACAAGCAATCTGCATATCTTGGTGCCAGTGGTGTGCATCATGATACAGAAGATACATGACTTGGTTGTAGTGAATAAAAGGGATATTTTGTTTAGATTGCTGCAATGTAGCCTATACTGCATGATGCCACTATGCATGGTCTAAACCCCAGTCTACATTAATCAATCCTAGAATGGATTGTTGACTGTAATATAGCGAGTATGAAGAGAGCCTTTCAGACCATTTGGCATCAGCTTGTGAAATTTCTTGTAGACTGTTGGAAGCAATTTGCTTCTGCTTATCTAAACTGGATCCATTCCCTCACTGAATGTGCTGTATTTCTCATCCAGTTTAGTACAATGCAGCTATCTATTTCAGGCATTTTTAAAGCACTCATAGTACCTAAGCTCATAACACAGGGCCAGATTCCACTACCTTTACTCATGTTGAGTAGCACTTGACTCCACAAGTAGCTAATTACTTTCTTAAAATGAATCGTGTATTGTCTCTCTTAACATGGACCATTAGCTCTGCTGCTTGAAAATATTCCCTTTCTGGGAGTTCTTCCTGGGTAATAAAGCAAATTTTAACAAATCAGTATCATGAGCCAGCAAAGTGCAAGAGCTATGCCTAATTAGTTGAGTCCCCTTTAATACATTTTATAGAGGGGCTCAGATACTATGGGTGTAATATAAGAACCCAGACACTGACAGAAACAGCTGGTTCCAGATCTGTCTGCTGCATTTTGTTTGGTATATCAACTGGATGAGGAAGAGATTAAAATATCTTTTAATATATAGTCATGCAAAATCATATCACGTTGAGAAAGATGTAGGCAAGGAAAAGAAAAGGAAGGAAGGAAATTGATTCACAGGGAATTCTGACACTACCATAGATGTTTATGGTTGTTAATGAAAATACTGGCACTACTAAAAAACCTTAGAAGCCATTTAAGAAGGTGGGGTGGAAGAATGGGAGAAAGGAGTGGATGCGTGCATTTTGCCTTTTAAAATGTTAAGTTTCTCAAAGATCAGTGAATGAAAATCATAAATCTGAGAAATTTATGATGTATGATGCTTGCAAATAGTTCCATTAAGCACAGCATTTTTCTTTTGAAAATAGATTTCTTATTCTTTGGGATTAACCTGCATATCTATACATGTACACCCTGTGGTTACATTTGAGCTTGGGGAAATGATAGACCCTCACATATAAATAGTACAGAAAAGAGGGAGAGAATGTTTTGAGCATAAGAATATTTCTCTTCCTCTGTTAGTTTAATGGGATAGATGCCAATGCTTTTATGAACTATGAATGCAGCAGACTTTTTTCCAAATGAAGTTGTTGGAACTCTGCCCTTGGAGTGAGGCACTCACATTACAGACTGGCAGCAGATTTCTGTTTCTTTAATGAAAACTGGATTATTAAATCTCCTTTCCTTTGAAGGAAAAATGTTATACAAGAAATTGCTGTAAGCCATAGTGCTATTGCATAGCATATTCTCCTGTAGAGTGCTATAAGAAAAATGTCATGGTACAAAAATCCAAAGCATAATTCTACCATCAGAGAGATTTATATGCTAAACTCCTGATGTTCTGTGGCTTGTTGTATGATAGCAAAGCTGCAAAACATTTACCAGATTCTTCCCAAATTACTAGTTCATACATTTTAATTGCAGCTCTGGATGCAGAAGTGACTTGCAGATTCCCACTTCAGTAACACATGGTCAGAATTTGCTCAAGCGCTAGTCATGGAGCTGCTGCTAACCCTATGCATTGTTTCTCCTATTAAAGCACCTCTTTTTGACTGCCCAAACAAAATAGTCCCTTCCAATAGTTTAATTACCTGAAATTATGGTGGAGGTGCTGACCTCAGCTCCATAATTAATTAAACTTGAATTGAATTTTGTACTTAAGCAGGATTCAACCACTTTATTGTGTATGAAGAATACTCATCATTCCCCTAACTTGGAGGTGCATTAAGTAAAGCATAGTTCTGTTCTGGGTCATAGAATATCAGGGACCTCAGGAGGTCATCTAGTCCAACCCTCCTGCTCAAAGCAGAGTCAATCCCCAAACAGATTTTTGCCCCAGACCCCTAAATGGCCCCTTAAAGGATTGAACTCACAACGCTGGGTTTAACAGGCCAATGCTCAAGCCACTGAGCTATCCCTCCCTCCTTTAATAAATTATTTAAAAAAGCAGCAGCATCTGAAATGTGGACAAGAGGGCTAGCTGCCTCAGCCTGGCTGTTAAGGACATTGAGCCACTGGCACCAGGAACGGAAGGGATCTTGTCCAATAGGAAGTGTTAAGTTAACCGAGATGAAAATCATGTTTCCTGCCGTTTCGAATAAAACCGGCCTTCACAGGAGCGTAGGGCTGTAGTGCCTTGGGGGTTTCCCTAGGGCGTATGAAGCAAGCCATAGCGCCTCTGCTCTCCCAGCCTCCGTCTCCACTCAGGTGCATTCAGGTCTATTCTGCCCCAACTGCTGGCTGCCTTGGGGGCGGAGCTCCTCCCCGGGCCCGCCCCTGGCGTGGGTTGGACGCTGCTGGCGAAGACCCGCCTGCAGCGGCCCCGCTACCCAGCCAGCCCCCGGGCAGCTTCCACGTCTCCGGGCTCTGGAGCACTGAGCTCACCCGGAAAGGTGCGGGGGAAGGCTGATCGGGGGTGTGTGTGTGCAGGGTGCTGGGGGGAGGCGGGCGAGGGGGCGCAGAGTGCGGGGGGAGGCTGACCGGGTGTGTGTGTGTGTGTGTGTGTGTGCAGGGTGCGGGGGGAGGCTGGCCAGGGTGTGTGGGAGCTAAGGCAGGGACACCCCCACTCTGTCCTAGGAAGGAGCCTGCTGCCCCTAGCTCCAAGGGGATGAGCGCCCCCCAGCCCGGGTGGCTTCATGCAGGGGGGTGTCCTCACTGCCCATTAACTGTGGCCCCACCGGGGCGAGCTGCCCTCTCAGCCTGTTCCTATCCCGCAGGGTCTGTCACTGGCACCCAACGGCCTCTGCAAGTGCAGGCCGAGGTCTGCTCAGTCAGTCAGCCTCCGACCTGGCTGCATGAGGCTTGGGGGGGCTGCCGCGGACTTCTAGGGGGGCTTGTGTCTGGCGCGGTCTCTGCGTTGCAGGTATGTTGAGCGTGTTCAAACAGAGCTCCTTTTGCAGCCTACTTCCAACAGATTCATTCTCCCTCAGAACAGAGCGCGCCCCTGAATAGCACCCGGAGAGCTGTAGTTAGTCGGCTCCTCTCCACCTCTGACTCAGGCTCAATTCTTAGCTGGGGTAGCGATTTTACAGCCCATGTGTAGCGTTCCCCTCTGCCTCTGAAGGCCAGACTGCGGTGGTTATTCCTAGCCATGAACATCTGTGGACCAAGAGAAGGGGAAAGCCTTCTCCTTCCCAGGACTAGAGTTGTCTGAATGTAACTTTAGCCAGTCCACTCTTGTCCTCTCTTCTGGGCGTTTCCAACTGTCAGAACCTTTCTTTTGTCATTATGTGGTATCTGACAAATGGAGGCATGGCACTGCGAACCTCTGTGAGGAAGGGAATTCAAAACATGCTGTTTCTCCTGGTTTAATGGCTTCTGTTTTGAACAGCCCTATGGCTAATATTCCAAGACAGCAGATGTGTGATTGCATGTTTACAGAACTTATTAATAAATAAAGTAGCATTCTGTATCTAACTCAATAAAACTTGTGTTAATTCATACACAGACATAATGTAAATACCACTTGGTTGTGTTGATATAGTTGAAATGTATTACAAAAGTAAAGAAACTGACTAGCGCTACAGCCTATTTAAGAAGCAAGTTATGCCATGAAGGAGAACAAGTTCATCTGTTCTTGTTTCAGTTTTCAGAGAAGGCAACTGATTCTCTCACAAGAATATATTTAAAATGTCAAGTTTTCCTCGGATCTACAGATTAGAAATCCACGCTGCAAGACATTAAAACACACAAAATGATGGGTTCCTTTAGAGAGTACCATACTACTGTAGTTAATGTGTGATGTGATTGTCTTGTAGGCCCTTCCCCCGAAAGCTTTCATTTTGTATTTGCACATTTACCACAATAGGGTCCTGCTGTAATCTAAATAAATAATCATATATTACAATCTACCCATAAAAAGGTGGCCCTGTTTACTCTTCAAGGGTAACTTTAATATCCCTTTATGATCCTACATTATCCAACTGTAGATGCTTACAAAAACCTTGAAACCAAAAACAATTACAATGTAATATCCTTTTCCTCCACCAAAACCATAAGAAGTAAATAGAAGGAAACAATTTTTATATTGCACCATTATAGTAGTGTGAAATGGATGTCATGATCCTACAACCAGGCATATGTGTAAATTAGGAGTTCCCGTGAGTGAAGTTATACATGCATAAGTATTTGAAGGATCGAAGCCTTAGTACTGAAGTAACGGTATCTTGGAAACTTGGAAAACACAAATGTCCATGATGTTAATGAGCTGTGTGTGTGTTTTACAGAATGCATTTATGCAAGAAAACCATATCAGCTAGAAAATAAGTTTAATCTCAAAGGAATCCAAAGTGTTTTATAAATTTTACTACACACACACACACACTACCCTAGTTGCTACATTGCTGAATTGCAGCCATTGGTAGAAGTAGAACATGGTAGCTTAAGACAGAAAAAGAATACTGAACCCAACTGAAACCTCAAGGGAAATTTTTAAAGGTAGCTATTGTGACATTCCCCTCTGGTGTTATCTGGACTGGTGATCTGCTAGGTCAGTCCAATCCTTGACTCTAGGAGCCAGCCTTACCCTGCTCTGCTGTGAGAACCCCCACTCCTGGGCTGTTCACACACAGCCTCTAGCATGTGAGCTGCTCCTTGGATTGTGCAACCGAATAACACTAGCCAATATCTCTGGTCCCAGACACAACCCTAGGAACCTCGGTCTTGCAGTGTCCAGTTATGCCCACTGGATGCTGCAAGCTTATATGAGTTTGAAATAAATTGATATGTACTAGGCTTGTTATCCCAAGGGGAGCATCTGACATCCTTCAAACTAAGTGCACTGCTTCAGGTAGAATAAACAAACAGATTTATTAACTATGAAGATAGATTTTAAGTGATTATAAGTCAAAACATAACAAGTCAGATTTAGTTAAATGAAATAAAAGCAAAACGCATTCTAAGCAGATTTTAACACTTTCAATGCCCTTACAAACTTAGATGCTTCTCACCACAGGCTGGCTGGTTGCTCTTCAGCCAGGCTCTCCCCTTTGATCAGTGCTTCAGTCGCTTGGTGTGGTGGTGTCTGTAGGTGTAGGTGGAAGAGAGAGGAAGAGCATGGCAAACGTCTATTCCTTTTATCATGTCCTTTCCTCCCTCTTGGCTTTGTCCCCACCTTCAGAGTCAGGTGAGCATTACTGAATCTCTCCAGGCAAGGTTGAGCAATTCCCCTGGTGTGGCATCATGCAGGTGAGTCATTGCATTGTAGCTCCCTTGCTGGACAATGGCTGTTGATGGGTTGTTTGACACCCCGCCTGGGCATTGGTTACTTCTCTTGTTGTTGCCTCTGGGGAGCTAATAGCTGGCTGATTTCCCCCAACTTACAGCATGTTTTAGTGACAACCATACTATACAATTCTCATAACTTCATATGCATTAATGATATACACATATGGATAGAGAAATGATTTTCAGCAGATCATAACCTTTCCCTTGATATCTTACAAGGCATGCTTTATATGTAAGATCACAATTATATGAAAATGAGGAATATGGGGGTTACAACACACACTCCCCCAATGTATAGAATGTCACAGCTATAATGTACAATAATCACCCATTATGGAATTTGACAAGCTCTAACACCCATATTCTTGAGAAAAGTGCTAAAATATCTTTATTGATAAGGGGTAAAGAGCTCAGATTTTACATGTCCACCTGAAAGACTATTATTTTTTATTTCTGTTTGTAGCTGCTGGCCAAGTCCCATAGAAGCTGTGCAGCAAATTCCATAGCAAAGAACCTTTAATTAGCATTTTACTCCATATTTCCTTTTTGTCTTTAAGCCTTAATAGAGTTAGTTGCTAACGTGGTAAAGCTACAGCAATAATCACAGCCCACAAAATTGGAAGAAAAACTATATTCTTTTGAAGTTCCTCAGACCACTCACCTTAGAAAAGGTCATTGATGTGGTGGCAGTGACTACTGTACCCTTTTGGAGGACTATGTACTTAGTTTATCTTTTCTTCAGTCAGTGAAGGAGACCAGCTAAAGCAAAACCTTGAGCCCAGGGAGAAATTAAATGTCCAGTATGCCTAGTTCCACTCATCTCCCATATAATTAGCATTTAGCACCCAGTATCAATCTTAGTACAATACTGGATGGAAGTGAGGGTAGTTTTTTTTTACATGGGAATCAATTGTGTAAGATTTAAGAACATGTGAGCCACCTCATGGCAGGAGGGAGGCAAGGTAGAAACTCAAGTTTTAGAGATACTCCTGCACCAAAACCCCAATTCTGAACTTCAGGGAGGTTCAGCTATGGATCCGAACTTTATGGCTTACCCCTATCTCTTATAACAGGATGTTTGCACCTTTCCCATGTTACCCCTCTGCCCTGCAACAAGGACCAGAGTTTCCTGCCGTGAGTGCAGGGTAGTAGGGCTGGACTAGATGTGAGGAATTAATTAGTTTCCACATCTTTGTTATGAAAGAGATGTACTATGAGGTGTTGGGGCTGAAGCTGGAAGTCAAGATTTCTAAAAGAGCAAGACCTGAGTAGGGAACTAGAAGACAGATGATCTATTCTCATCTGAAATTTGGTTGTATTGAACCACACTTAAATACTTGTCTTTAGACTTGTCTGAAGTGAACTGTCTTGTACCTTTATTCTGAATTTTGTCAGAGAGAAGTCCTATTGTTGTGTTTGTCCTTTGCGGGGGTGGCATTTTCTTAACAATAAAGCACATCTCCAAGATGTTTCAGCTACAAACAGATGTGTGCATAAACTTCTCCTGTTCCACCAACCAGTTGCTTCCTTACAAAGGCTCAGATCTGATACCTAACCGCACTTCCCTCCACACACCTGGGTTTTGGGGAAGTTTGGGCTGGGATATGAACTGTTCAGCACAGACCTAGCTCTAATTAGTTCTAGTTCACTGACCTGCTGGGTGACCTCAGGCATGTCTTTTCACCTGTCTGTGCCACTGTTTCCTTTCTCACTCTTTACCTGTATGGTCTGTTTTTAGACTGTGTGCTCTTTGGATGCAGGACTGTCTCTTACTATGTGTTTGTACAATGCCTAACACAATGGGGCCCTGAACCAAGTTGAGGTTTCTAGGTGCTACTGTAATACAACTAATTAATAATAATGAGCACAAGGGTATGAAGGACTGCACTGAGGGGCAAAGATTACTTGGGCCAAGGCAACTGTTCCTGCATAACTACATGCACATATGGTTTGAGCTAGAATTGGTACAACGTTTCCACTAACGAGCAGTGAATGAAAGTTTGTTTCTTCATCTAGTTCTGGTGCTTTGAGAAGACAGGGTGTTACAGCAGCTAAGACACTTATGCAATAAAGATCAGTCACAGTTGCCTGGTATGAAGGTAGGCTGAGTTATGATTCCTCTTCTATTATAACTTCCCGTCCTTCACTATAAAATAAAATTCAGAAA